CATGATCAAATGGCGCCGCCGAGCTTCACATCTTGGTAGATTTACTTTGTGGCACAACGGGCCCGAGCTACACACGTGTGTCCGGCTCACGTCAATAACTTTTCCAGTAATTTGGTCGAGCGTGTTGATTTCAGTGCCTCGAGAGTGGCGCTACTGTGGGCTGGTTTATAAGTTTTTGCTAATAACTAACATAGAGTTAAAGTGTTCGTTTGTCCAGTGCCGAAAATATCACAAGTCATGATCAAATGGCGCCGCCGAGCTTCACAACTCGGTAGATTTACTTTGTGACACATTGGCCTCCGAGCTACACAACTCGGTAAATTAACCTTGTGGTACAATAGACTGCTTGCAGTCCGCCTTTTCTCTTTTAAATCCGTCTAGTTCTTATCTCATCCAGCACGATTGCAAATCAAGACGTTATTATTACTAAAGGGAATGAGATTTTTTCTTCTCGGACTTACGCCCTCGTTTCTCGCGGCTCGCGGCTTTGCCGCTCGCGTGCTTAGGTTTCGCGTACAGTAACTTTGCAAAGAAAAATAGGAGACTGCTCGCAGTCTAGTGGTACAACGGCCGCCGAACTAAACCCGGTTTGATGCATGCACCAGGAGTCGCAGACATTTTCAAAAGACAGTGACTAACCGATGCTGAAAAATATGAAGGCTTAATCCAAAGTAAACTTTAACAGCAAATTTCTGAAAGATGAACGCTTTGGACGATTCAGCAAACACAGATCGATGTACTCTTTAGGAAGATTCAGCAAACTTTTTAAAAGATGAACGCTTTACGAAGAATATCAGACCTTAGCAAACCGCTTTGAAAGATGAACGCCGCGGACACAAGAATCACCACATGAGTTATCGCGTCAAAGTAAGGCAAATCGTAAGTAAGCGCCTCAAAGCGAGGTAAATGTGTGTCGACGACGAAAATGCATTCTCAAAAAAATCTACCTTATTAATTCCACAGGAGACCCAATAATGCACAGAACACCCAACACAAATTAGGGGTTGCGTTCTCGTACCTCGAACGCAATCAACCATAGAAGCGATACCTTACACCTATTACTCGCTACACGAATAATTTCATCTTCAAAAGAACCAGTCACATTCAAACTAAACACCACGTGAACTTCCATTACTTCGTTTTCGGTTAGAACATGTTACAAGAAGCCTCAGAACACGACCAAATTATAACCGGAAATTTATTCATGAGCTGAAAACTATCGTGTAAGCGATGAAAAATGCATTTAGCCGACCGTAGAAAAAAGATAATCATTGTAACCTCGTCCCCAGCCCCACCCATTTTTTAAGGGAAAAGCCCTCGGGACGAGGTTGTGATCATTGCAAATAATAATACTTGCTTTGAAACGTAGACATATTAAATTCTGCAAGCAGAATACTGCAATGCTGATCGTACTACGTGAAAATTAACTCTGCAAGACATCAACACGACACCGAAAGAACTCAAAACAGAGCGGGATTGTAGCCATAGACAGCTGTTTCGCCCTCTTTGGGGCTCGTCAGTATGGCGTAACAACACAGAAAACTCTGGTGAAAAATATCCGCGCACTCTGATTTAAGCCCTGACCTAGAACTCTCAACACCCACAGAATCACGGCATACAGCGTGTCTTCTGGGGGGCAAGAGTCCAAGTTCCAATTGCCAAGTTGCAGTCCTTTGTGGTTAATGTTTTTGTTTTGAAACACCGGCCAAACAGTAAAATAACTGATAGCTTGCTCAACAGAGAAGCTGTTATTTATTAATAACTCACCGATCTTACTCAGACCCCGTAGAAGAAAACCTCTGTAAGCGACCCCCACCCCCTCGGAAATTGCCTCCTTTTCGACCCCCGCTCCCCTCGGAATTTCCGTTGCCCTCCGTAGGGGGGGGGGGATGGATATTTTCTGTAAATTTTCGCAACTTTACGCGAGTTATATCTTCGTCCCTTAGGACATATCAAGGAAATATCACTCTCAAATTTAGCAATTTTACTAATCGATTAATTTTCCCTAACTAGTCCAAGTTAAAAGTTGAAATAACCGTGGAAGGTCTAGGCCCAGAAACGGAAATCGGTGAAGATTTCTGCCGGTATAAAATATATTTCAGAGCAAGCCTGTGGACCTAACTTATCACTGCAAAACTGCAAAACCAATGGAACCTAACAGAAACGGATGTTGAACCACACACAAGTTGGCTCAGCTATGGCACAACTTAGTGTCGGACTGTCTTATGTAAATTAGCCGAATAAAACAGCTGTTGCCGATAACAAAAAGTAAAAAAAAAAAAACCGGTTCAGCAAACTTTGCATGTAAAATGTATTCTATGTGTTAAGAAACGAGTCTAACCTCGCGATAATCATTGGGTACCAAGCATACCTTGCTACTACGGCCGCTTTCGGTGATTTGTCCCGGCAAATTACCCACTTGTCCTGCCTTGTCCCCAGTCACTCGCAAACATGGAAAGTGGAGAAGAAGGGACCATCACTCCCCTCTCGCGTTAGCCTACAAGCAAGCTCTCCTATTTGGGCAAGCGAAGTGAGCCTCGCGAGAACGCGCGAGCACCCCCTCGCGGCTTCGCCGCTCGCTCGCGTGTTCTCGCGAGACTCGTTTCACTCGCCGAAATAGGAGAGCTTGCTCGCAGGCTACTCTCGCGTTTCTCGCTTTTCTCGCTTAGTGCTCCCTAAGAGAAGGCAGCCACATGTCCCAAAACGTGTCATTCGGTTTTGCAGTGCTGTTGTTTTGTTCAAGCTTGTTAAAGGAAATTCTGCTCCTTTTTTCAATTTTAATTAATTCCAAAAACCGAAACGCCGGGTGATGCAAAACACCTGACAGTCATGCCTCCTGCATTCCATCAAAAAATTTTACCAATTTACCCCTCCCCTCCTTAGGCCTATAAGAATCCAAATACAAATACATGCCGTCCATAAAACTGTAGTCTGCTACACAGCCGTTTTTAGTGTCATCACGCAACGCTCCTCCCCACTAACGGGGAGGGGAGGAGGGGAGAAGCGTTGCGTGATTACACTAAAAATAGTCTACTACACAGCTGTTTTTAGAGTCGTCACGCAATGCTCCTCCCCACTGTGGGGAGGAGCGTTGCGTGATGACACTAAAAACGGCTGTGTAGCAGATTAATAAAACTGGGAATTGACCGTTATACTATGTTGCGCACTCTTTTATACAATCATTCTGAGTTCACATAAATTAAACTACATGTACTCTGCTAACTGCAGCCTTATGTCCCGCTCAGGAAACAGAGGAAATGAAACTATGGGTAACAAAAACATTCTGATAACTAAGCAGTCTATAAATTAAAAACAATAAATAATATGTACAGAAGAATAAAGTGAATAATTATACGTATACATGTAGATACAACCTACAGCTGTACACTCAAAATAAAATGCATGTTTTGAACACTTTTTACAACATTTACATGAGCTATCCAATAAATAATATAATTGATTTTGTATTCCACACGTTGCTATATGCTTATCATGTACTTATGATGGAGTCACGCCATCAACCTGGACATTCTCCACTTTAGAAATGAGATGGAAACTTGGCCAATTTGACTTTTGTAAAGACGTCTGGGACTGTTAAAGGGCAATAGTGACCAGCACATCCTCAGTAATACGGGGTTGTCAATAAGGGTTGGTAGCCGGCCAAAACTGCCGGCTAGTTAGCCATCCTTAGCTGACTACATACTTTCATCTTCTTCTACCATAACTGCTAACAAAAAATAAGCACCATCGAATGCAATATTGTAAAGCATATGTTTCCCAATTTTGAATGACATTGAACGCATATTTAAACAAGTTTAGATCTGGGACATTTCGATGGCATTTTTCCCAGTCTTGCATGTATTCTGACAAAGCAACATACGGCGTCCGCAGTGGAAAATACCTCTTGAAAAGACCTGGAAATGCCATTTCCAAGACTCTAAATTTCAAAATATCCCTAGATGCCTGGACCCTCCAGAACTTGTGCCTTTGGTGCGAGTTCCAAAGCCGCCCACTACTCATTTAAGATCAGCCTGCTACTTGAAATCTTTTTGACAGCCCTGAGTAAGAATCCCAGAAGTGTTTTTCTTGTTTCTAGAGTAGCATTTAGTAAAAATCCTTTTAACAGGATCAAACTACAAACAGAAAACGATCTGTGAAGTCTACATCTGCATCAGGCATTACGAACCATCATTCAACCAGAAAAAGGCAAACAGAAGTACTGTCTTCGTTGCCCTGTGTATTTAAAAGGGCCGAAACTGGAACTCAAAGTAAAGGCTCAACAGTATTTTGAAGGCTCTTTTTACATGTTTGAAAAAAAAAAACTGAGCAGATGTTTCTCTCTTGCATGGCTTTTAGTGTTTATGACAAGTCATTTGCGTCGCATGTCAGTTGTGTAGATGGTTTGTTTACACCCTGACAAAACTGTTTCTCCTGGGGCATAAACAAACCAACTAAGTAACTGACATGCCATGCAAATGGCTTGAAGGCTCCTAAATGCTGAAAGCCATTCAAGGGAGTAACCTCTGCTCGCAGGGTATTGAGGAACAAGGTCCAAGAGTAAAGCTGCACTTTTGGTTGCCTCATTTTCTTTCTGTTTACCATGCAGGAGGTTAAGTTAACATAGCTCTAAAATGGAAACTTTACCTTTACCACCTTATAATTTTGACCATATTTTTTTTGGCCCAAATAGCAAAAACACCAACTTATAACCTTCTTAATCCAGGGGTTTCAATAATAATAAATTGAAGTAGCCAGATTTTATGTTATGTTATTTGTTTACAACATCATAAGCACTAGTTGCTTCTTCTTTTAGGGAGAAAAGTAGCCGACTTCTCTAAGAAAATTAACCGATGCATTTTGTCTGTCATAAGTGCTTATTGAAACCCCTGCTAATCCAAACACTCCCTTCATAAGACCACCTCAAAAAATTTACCAGATTTCCATCGCCCTTGGGTGGTTGAATTGAATGGGAATCACTATGATGACAAGAAGGGGTTTAGTTATTTACTATTGTTATCTAATGGTACCAAGTCTTCAAGATAGACAACTGTTCTTGAGTTTATCCCAGCTTGTGACAAACTTAGAGAAAAATTATCAAAAACTCTTCTGGGCACCTCATTTGTGCAAATGAGACAGGGAGGAAGCTCGTCCTTAGTAACTGATGCAGCAAATGCCAACACCGCGCCTAGAGTGTCTGTGGGTCTAAACCATCTCTCATGACGAGTACCATCCAATAGTTTTATGGCAAGATTAAGTCTCTCTGGCTCTGCATCTGTTGGTTCATCAGGGAGGGAGTAGTGTAATGATAAACTTGCAGTAGCTTTTGACAAGGTCGACACATTATCAGTATCATTGCTGTCAGTTTGTGTTCTTGTTCTACTTTGAGATAATTCACTTAGAGAATGGTAATTATCAGTCTTAGGAACAAGCCCTGTGCCTATAGAAGGAAGGGGCTTGTACTTTGAAAAAGATAGCTGTGGTTTTAGTGGTGGGGAACAGGAAACTAGATCTCCAACATCAGACAAACACTCTCTTGAAGCTTTTCTTTCTCTTCCAACATGGGAGTTAGGACGCACCCGCCCTTTGGCTGATTTGGGGCGACCACCTGTCTTTTGTCTGGATGGAGGCCTTGGAACAAAGACAGCACCATGAGAAGAGATCAGCTCTTCTGAGCTTCGACGTTGAAGGTTACTTCCCTCACAATAAAAAGACCTTTGTTGGGGTGACTGTGCTGCAGTTTGCAAGGGACTGTCAAGAGATCTGCTGCTTGTGGGTCTATCGCCATGACGTGATAAAGGACGTTCACCAAACTTTTCTGCAATAAAAATATTTGAACAAAAATGTTGAAGATTACAAGTGACAATGACTCCAATTCACAGGTTTGATACAAAAACAGGCCAATTAGACCTTTTTACTGGATTCAAAGTACGGCAGTAAGCAGCGAAGGAAGTTGTCTTTGCTAACTCTATACATTTTCTGCTACACCAGGGGGGATACTGCAAAATTCGAGTAGGGTGGGTGTCATTTTCTGATTTCTTCCACTATTTTCACTGTGCAGTGATCTTCACCTTTAGGGGCCAGCTGAAATTAATGTACGATTTCGTGAAATGCACAGTGAATTTTCTTAACATTTTTCTTACCTCCACTAATACGTCTCACTCCAGACGCAGCTGGCATTTTGGCTTTTACCGAATGAGGAATCGTTTGTTTATTCTCCGTTGAAGATTCTGTGAGTTCGTTCGCTGGGTACATCGTCAAATGTCCGCCGCCATACTCGTTGTATCCTTTGCTTAGCAACTTCCGAGCATATCCCGGAAATTTATCGATCTGTTACCGAAGAACGTTGCTGAAACTTTTTGGGCATTTGTAGAGCTAAAAAGCTGGTGGAAGCGTATTTCGTTGAAAATTGATGTAAAGTATTCAAGGAAATTTCAACCCGACAAGACTTCCGTTTCATTTTCCTATTTTCCCGAAGGAATAGGATTTTCAAGGAGCGCTCAGCGGTTTCACGGGATTTTATTGATTGGTGTTACTAGATCCCAAGCCTCTTTCAAAAACACCGGAAACAGACCACAGTGTTCAAAATCAGCTAGTCTTCGGAATATCTTTCGTTTCACTGTTCATGATCGAAATTTTCTTGTAGCAATGACTACCGCTGATGAAGACTGGGCGGCTGAAGTTGATGAGCAAGAGCGGCAAATCTCTGGAGAAGTAAGTTACTGTCGCCGCGGTTAGAATTCCATAACGCTTCATTCTTTGAAACACGTGCGATTGATTTCGCATGTACGTTTCGGCGTCCTCTGCTTGTAACTGTTGAAAATAGTTTTGAAGCTTTAGCTTGATGAATTAATGAATTTTCATTTAGTAGCTCGTGTGTTATCTTAACCAATTTTGGTTGTATAATTTATAAAAACCCATCAAACCGTTGAATGATGGCTTCATTTTGATGCAGAGTTTTAAGTTGACATGTCGATCCGGGGAAAAAAGAAGAGTGTATTGATATTACACCTTCATATTCACTTTCATTTCGTAGGAAATGTACTTGTTTTTAGACTTTTCTTCCCTTGTGGTAGTGAATAAAATCAATGATACTGCAAGATATTTTGGACAAGCCTCCTTGTTCAGGAACTCATATGCAGCTTTTTAACCACAGAGATGGCCAAGAAAAACGATCATTTTTTTTTTCACGGGTTTTGGTATTAAAGGCCTAGTCATTGCAAGCATGCCCTTTCTCTTCCTTCTGATCGTGGGCATTTTCATAAATTAAATATTCTGGCTCCCCCAAGGATTTTCACTTGTGTTAAATTATGTTTTAAATGTCAAATTTTTCATCATTCACTACATCTTAGGGGCTTTCCACGCTTGGTGCTTGAGAACCAGTGCCTCGGTACTGGCACGAAGTGGTGTTGTGTTCACACTTGAAATACCTGATATGTGACTGTATACATAGTTACTCCTTTTCGCCTTGTCAGACTCCATTTTGAAACATGAGCTTAGTAGTGACAACAAAGCAGTGTACTGCCTGGAACTTACAAAAATTGTGTGCTGATAGGGACCCAGTGCCTACTTTTGTGCCCAAGAACAAGGTCGAGACCTTGTACTTGGGCACCAGCACTGTGCCCGAATTCTAGAGTGGGTACTTGAAAAATGGTGCATTCATATTAGTGCCCAGTGAGTATTGTATTTGGGCACCAAGTGTAAACGCTCTGTTATATAATGTCTAATGATAGGAACAATAAGCAAGAGATCTAGTGATCATTAAGAGTAGTATTGTCAGGAGATTTACCTGAGAAAAAAGCCAAAAATTCAATGACATTTTGTGATGCCATCACTGGTTTTCCCAGGAAATGACCCGCTGAGGAGCAAGGGCAGAAACTCTAGACTGATGGCGTTTCACTAACCAGATTTGTGTAGTGATTCTGATTGGTTAATGCAAATTTTCCTTGCAGCACAACAAATCTGAAGCATTGCCCATATCTGGGTAGCGACACATCATCAGTATGGAATTTCTGCACTCATTCCCCACATGGAAAACAGTGATGGTGGCCCAAAATGTTGGCTTTTTTCTCAGGCTACTACTGACACCCTTTTTGACTTTCATATTTTTATTCACTATTTGCAGGTTGATAAGTTGAAATTAAGTAACACAAGTACCACTAAACCAACTGAGGAAAAGCAAGCTAATACAGAAGAAGAGGATAATGGTACAAAAAAAATGCAAGCTCATTGCTCAGTGACATATTTTGTAATAATATTATTATTCATACTAATCATAGCTATCAGCTGTCCTGATTGGCTATCAACTGTCCTGATTTCAGCACTAATAGGACAGTGTAATAGGACAGTACGCGTTATGCCTAAGTAATTTGACAGTACGTGCCATCGGCCGCACGCACTTAAGTGGCTTTTTTTTAACTTCTAGAAAAAGCTATCGTAATTCCTTGTGTTTTAATTTTAAAAAAAGACCAAATCTCACAAACTTTGTTATACTTATGATTAATTAGTTACAGAACTTTGTGTCATCCAATGTGGTCTGTAATCATACTCGTGATTAAACAAATCGGACTCCCGCAATGCAGTCGTCCAATTTTGTTTATCACTTGTATGATTACGGACCGAATTGGATTCCACTCAGTCCTTAGTACCATTATTTATACTTTTATCAATACTAAAACCCCATACCGGCATTGTCTTTCTTCCACAGAGCAGACTAAGGCTACAGACCTTGCAGATGCTTCTTTTTTGATGAAAGTGTTAAGAAGTAAACTTGTTAAGACCAAGAATGAGGTTGAAGTACAGACAAATGACCCAAGTTCACCCTTGTACTCTGTCAAGTCATTTGAGGAATTACCACTGTAAGTACTGACCACCATTCTATTTCTTTTCCTCCTGACATGAAAGGATTTTGAATTTCAAAGGTTTATCAGTGACTATTGCCAGTGACTATTATGATTATCATAAAATAATATAATCTGTGTTTATTTTTTATCAGGTCAGAACAACTCCGTCGTGGTGTCTATGATATGGGTTTTAACAAACCATCCAAGATTCAGGAAACAGCACTACCCATGCTCTTAGCTGATCCGTGAGTTGCATGTACTGCATGTTTAATCCCTTGAATTAATTTTATAATAGTGTCCACAGTCTTCACATAATCAACACTGCTGAACTAGTAAAACCATATAACCAGAATAATTTAATCTGAAATATTATTATAATACAGTGTGCCCATATTAAGCGAGATAAAACATTAATCATGAATAAATTTCTTTTCTCCGTGGGTACTTACCTCGACTCTCCTCTTTATGCTCCATTACTCATAAGGCCTCTGACTTGTCCTTGAAAAGTGTTTCTGGTATCATTAATATTTTTTTATGGGAATGAGACATTAACTCACTCCTCAACCCCCAACCTGGTGGGGCCAGGCATTGCAATTTTATTCATCTCGTCCCAGTTGTTTAAAAGGTAGATAACACTATCCACTGGATAGCACAATTTTATTGGTTTGCTTAACATGTATCAACCTGGATAGTGATTTATCCGATGGATAGTGCTATCCAACTTTTACACAACTGGGGCCTGGCCTTTCACCCCAAACCTGCCCAACACAGTTGAACCCACCAAAATGTGAGGTCCCAACCACGAACACGAACCTTCCCTCCATGTTATGAAGGCTAAACATGTTTGGGAGGTGTCTTGGTGGGTGTCAAGTGGCAGTTGGATAAATGTTTGCTTTTTTGTTTGATGTTAGACCGAACAATATGATAGCTCAATCACAGTCTGGAACAGGAAAAACTGCAGCATTTGTTTTGTCCATGCTTAGCAGAGTAGATGCAACAAAAAACTACCCTCAGGTATTATTTTGTTTTACTTCTTGTATGTTCCTTCCTCCTGCACAACTTGTAAAAAAAAAGAAAAAAGATTCGTTGAGGTACTTGCAAAGTGTGAAACTGTAAAATAAGGTGTAAGCTTTATGGCATCATTTTTGTGTCTCGCTTGTTTCACCCAACAGACGAAGAAAAAAAAGAAACTGCTTTTGGTCTACTGCCAATAATTGGTGTAATTTGAATGGTGATTAGTCACACTGTACGATTTTGTCTTAAGACTCAAAAGTAGAAACCACTTAAAAATTCAATCTTCCTCTCTAGTAGTGAAAGAGTTACATCAGGAACAAACTTGAAGTGTTAGATGATGAATTTGTTCACATAAAGCTGAATTGTTGGAATGAACTGATTTGTTGTACTTTTATCAAGGTTATCTGTATTTCACCTACATATGAGCTTGCACTACAAACAGGACAAGTGGCAGAAAAGATGGGCAAATTCTGCCCTGAAGTCAAGATTGGTTATGCAGTGAGGGGGGAGAGAGGTGAGAAACTGGAGCCAAGAAAAATAATTATGCGCAAGAGGGGTGTAAATTTTGGATTTTTTGTCTTACTTAGTAAGACAAAAAGTAAAATGCCAATATTTTTAGCCTCTTAGGCTTAGGTCTTATTTGGGGCTGTGGTCAAAAAAAGCTTGAGCTTTTCCTCAATAATGAGGAGGCCAAGGAGACCAATTATTGGTCTCCTTAAGGGGTTTGATTCAATGCTTGGTATAAGCATCATTTTCTGTTTTATTTTTAGTTTAAGAGTTCACTTGTCCACTTATCCCCAGGCGAGCGGGGCGGGGGGGTGGGTGAGGGGTGCATTTAGCAGCTTGCAAAGAAAGTAATCAAAGATAGCCCTGGGCTATAAGTGGAGTTTGCTATCTGGCTTGTAAATGCTAGTCTTGACTTGTTCCATGAGCAAGTAAAGTTTTATGGGGATTTGATAAAAATTTATTACAGAGAATTTTTTCCGTGCTAGTTGAAATGACTTTGGGGCTAGCTACAGCTTACATAAATGGCAGGCTGTAAAGCCCGCTTTCTTTGCACCCTGGGTAAGGCCTATAAATATGGCTTACCATTGTTTTCATTTTGTCGCTGAAGAAAATGATTATTGTATATTCCATAAACAGCCCTTTAATGTTCTTAATCGCCTCTCCTTCTCCTTTCTACAGTGTCAAGAGGTCAGAAAGTCACAGATCACATAATTTTTGGTACACCCGGAACTCTGCTAGACTGGATTCTGCGTAACCGAGTGCTGGACCCGAAAAAAATAAAGATGTTTGTGTTAGATGAGGCTGATGTCATGATAGCGTTACAGGGACACCAGGATCAATCCATTAGAATATACAGGTAAGGCTTCTTCCCTTTTGTCACACTTACGGATCAAACTGGCAAAAAATCTCTGATATGTCCTTTTGATGAGATTATAAATAATCATAGTTTCTGGGAGATTTGCTGCTGGCCAGCAGATGATCACCTTGGGCATATGCATTTGTCTCATTTCCACAGAGGTTTGCCCTCTGGTTTGCTTTGAATAGCTTTACCGCTCTTTTCCCTTTTGTTTGCTTCCTTCCAACCACCCACCTCTTTGTTCCTTGGAAGGAACTCCATTCGGTTAAGTTGTCTATTTTGATCTTTAATATTCTCCACTGAGAGACTAGTGTGACAGGTTCCAAGGGCAGATAGCCCATGGCAGGTTGTCATTGTTACCCCCGCTTTAGTTGCAATGCGAATACTGAACTTAAGAAATAATGTATTTCCTCTTCTCTAGGACCCTACCTAAAGATTGCCAAATGCTTCTGTTCTCTGCAACCTACGACGACGAGGTGATGAAATTTGCCAAGACAGTAGTACCAGAACCTATCATCATTCGGCTACGTCGGGAAGAGGAGAGCCTGGACAATATCAAGCAGTACTATGTGGTGTGTCGTGACAAAGAGGATAAGTTCCAGGCCCTCTCCAACATGTATGGCGTTGTGTCTATTGGACAGTGTATCGTTTTCTGTCACGTAAGTGTTAAAATAAATTCCTTCCCTCCCCCTCCTTTTTCCTTTTGCCTTTCCCCTGATTCCCATTCAAATCCTTCCTCGCCCCAGGAAACGACTGTAAAGCATCTTAGATTTCAGTTGCTGTTGGGGAAATTTTTCGTAACCCCAGGATGTTTTTACATTTGTGTATGCCTGTGTCATTTCAGACTCGGAAGGCCGCCTCTTGGTTGGCAGAGAAGATGACAGCAGATGGTCATTCAGTAGCGCTGTTGTCTGGCGAGATCACAGTGGAACAGCGGCTAGCAGTATTAAACAGATTCCGCGAGGGCAAGGAGAAACTGCTGATAACAACTAATGTCAGTGCCAGAGGCATCGATGTGGAACAGGTAAGTACGCAATGGCCACCATTAGAATCAATGACCCACTCCCTAGTATTAAAACATGGATTTTGGGTTCGTGCATGACAAAATCATAATATGTAATCAGAAATCACAGTAAGGTACCAGAATTTTAAACAGCAATGAAAAATGTAAAAAACATAAATCTTATTGGATATAAAATGGTAAGTAGGAGCCAAGTAAGAGTGCGGGTGGGTACTGTATGTTACTCCATGAAAATTAGGGTAGGGATGTATGGTATATAATATGCTCCTTAACTTACCCTATTTTAGACCATAGTGATTGGGCCAGTTTTCAAATTTTGATTCTATGCCTGCCAAAACTACCAAAAGGTTAATATTTTCAGTGCTTCCTGATGAAATTAATTTTATTTGATATCCTCTTCGTAACTGCATAGGAGCATTTTTTTGTATGGGTTAACACTTCAAGTCCCAATGGTGACCAACATCAATTTTCTTCTAACAATATCCATACAATGTCAAGAGATTAGGTTATGAGAACTAGTAAAATGATCCCCAAAGAGAAAATGTCTTGATCCTTTCTCAAATTCTCTCAACACATTCTTGAAGGAAATGTTTGGAGAATTTGTATGTGGATATTGCAGCTTAAAGGGTTCAGGCACTAGGTAATGACTTGAGCACATAATTGATCAAAAAGGGCAATTCTCTTGTGACATAGCCTTCCCCCCACTCCGCCCAATTCCCTAGTGACGCCAGTGAGGCCTTAAGGCCTGTTTACATGTAAACGTGATCAAATTAAAATAAGAGATTATATGGACAGAGGGGTTACCCCACCTAAGCGTGTTACCACACCTCCATATAAACAGGCCCTTAGTAATAGCATGTTGTTTTATTTTTTGTCTTGTTTCTATAGGTTACTGTCGTAATAAATTACGATATGCCAGTTGAGCCCACGGGTAAACCGGATTTCGAAACATACTTGCACAGGAGCGGCAGGACTGGCCGGTTTGGCAAGGGCGGCATTGCCGTCAACTTCGTTGATGGTCAGCGGTCAATGTCGATCATGAAGAAAATCGAAGAACATTTTGGCAAGAAAATAACGCTCTTGCAGGCTGATGACGTGGATGAACTTGAGAAACTGGGCAGCTAACTTGAATCGCTAAAGTTATGGAAATAGATATGAGTTATTTAACAAGGAGTGTTACACAAGGAATAGTCAAGTGGCAGTTGGATAAATGTTTGCTTTTTTGTTTGATGTTAGACCGAACAATATGATAGCTCAATCACAGTCTGGAACAGGAAAAACTGCAGCATTTGTTTTGTCCATGCTTAGCAGAGTAGATGCAACAAAAAACTACCCTCAGGTATTATTTTGTTTTACTTCTTGTATGTTCCTTCCTCCTGCACAACTTGTAAAAAAAAAGAAAAAAGATTCGTTGAGGTACTTGCAAAGTGTGAAACTGTAAAATAAGGTGTAAGCTTTATGGCATCATTTTTGTGTCTCGCTTGTTTCACCCAACAGACGAAGAAAAAAAAGAAACTGCTTTTGGTCTACTGCCAATAATTGGTGTAATTTGAATGGTGATTAGTCACACTGTACGATTTTGTCTTAAGACTCAAAAGTAGAAACCACTTAAAAATTCAATCTTCCTCTCTAGTAGTGAAAGAGTTACATCAGGAACAAACTTGAAGTGTTAGATGATGAATTTGTTCACATAAAGCTGAATTGTTGGAATGAACTGATTTGTTGTACTTTTATCAAGGTTATCTGTATTTCACCTACATATGAGCTTGCACTACAAACAGGACAAGTGGCAGAAAAGATGGGCAAATTCTGCCCTGAAGTCAAGATTGGTTATGCAGTGAGGGGGGAGAGAGGTGAGAAACTGGAGCCAAGAAAAATAATTATGCGCAAGAGGGGTGTAAATTTTGGATTTTTTGTCTTACTTAGTAAGACAAAAAGTAAAATGCCAATATTTTTAGCCTCTTAGGCTTAGGTCTTATTTGGGGCTGTGGTCAAAAAAAGCTTGAGCTTTTCCTCAATAATGAGGAGGCCAAGGAGACCAATTATTGGTCTCCTTAAGGGGTTTGATTCAATGCTTGGTATAAGCATCATTTTCTGTTTTATTTTTAGTTTAAGAGTTCACTTGTCCACTTATCCCCAGGCGAGCGGGGCGGGGGGGTGGGTGAGGGGTGCATTTAGCAGCTTGCAAAGAAAGTAATCAAAGATAGCCCTGGGCTATAAGTGGAGTTTGCTATCTGGCTTGTAAATGCTAGTCTTGACTTGTTCCATGAGCAAGTAAAGTTTTATGGGGATTTGATAAAAATTTATTACAGAGAATTTTTTCCGTGCTAGTTGAAATGACTTTGGGGCTAGCTACAGCTTACATAAATGGCAGGCTGTAAAGCCCGCTTTCTTTGCACCCTGGGTAAGGCCTATAAATATGGCTTACCATTGTTTTCATTTTGTCGCTGAAGAAAATGATTATTGTATATTCCATAAACAGCCCTTTAATGTTCTTAATCGCCTCTCCTTCTCCTTTCTACAGTGTCAAGAGGTCAGAAAGTCACAGATCACATAATTTTTGGTACACCCGGAACTCTGCTAGACTGGATTCTGCGTAACCGAGTGCTGGACCCGAAAAAAATAAAGATGTTTGTGTTAGATGAGGCTGATGTCATGATAGCGTTACAGGGACACCAGGATCAATCCATTAGAATATACAGGTAAGGCTTCTTCCCTTTTGTCACACTTACGGATCAAACTGGCAAAAAATCTCTGATATGTCCTTTTGATGAGATTATAAATAATCATAGTTTCTGGGAGATTTGCTGCTGGCCAGCAGATGATCACCTTGGGCATATGCATTTGTCTCATTTCCACAGAGGTTTGCCCTCTGGTTTGCTTTGAATAGCTTTACCGCTCTTTTCCCTTTTGTTTGCTTCCTTCCAACCACCCACCTCTTTGTTCCTTGGAAGGAACTCCATTCGGTTAAGTTGTCTATTTTGATCTTTAATATTCTCCACTGAGAGACTAGTGTGACAGGTTCCAAGGGCAGATAGCCCATGGCAGGTTGTCATTGTTACCCCCGCTTTAGTTGCAATGCGAATACTGAACTTAAGAAATAATGTATTTCCTCTTCTCTAGGACCCTACCTAAAGATTGCCAAATGCTTCTGTTCTCTGCAACCTACGACGACGAGGTGATGAAATTTGCCAAGACAGTAGTACCAGAACCTATCATCATTCGGCTACGTCGGGAAGAGGAGAGCCTGGACAATATCAAGCAGTACTATGTGGTGTGTCGTGACAAAGAGGATAAGTTCCAGGCCCTCTCCAACATGTATGGCGTTGTGTCTATTGGACAGTGTATCGTTTTCTGTCACGTAAGTGTTAAAATAAATTCCTTCCCTCCCCCTCCTTTTCCCTTTCACCTTTCCCCTGATTCCCATCCAAATCCTTCCTCACCCCAGGAAACGACTGCAAAGCAGCTTAAATTTTAGTTGCTGTTTGGGAAATTTTTCGTAACCCCAGGATGCTTTTACATTTGTGTATGCCTGTGTCATTTCAGACTCGGAAGGCCGCCTCTTGGTTGGCAGAGAAGATGACAGCGGATGGTCATTCAGTAGCGCTGTTGTCAGGCGAGATCACAGTGGAACAGCGACTAGCAGTATTAAACAGATTCCGCGATGGCAAGGAGAAACTGCTGATAACAACTAATGTCAGCGCCAGAGGCATTGATGTGGAACAGGTAAGTACGTATTGGCCACCATTAGAATCAATGACCCACCCCCTAGTATTAAAACGTAGATTTTGGGTTTGTGCATGACAAAATCATAATATGTAATGACATCGGAAATCACAGTAAGGTACCAGAATTTTAAACAGCAATGAAAAATGTAAAAAACATAAATCTTATTGGATATAAAATACTAAGTAGGAGCCAAGTAAGAGTGCGGGTAGGTACTGTATGTTACTCCATGAAAATTAGGGCAGGGATGTATGGTATGTAATATGCTCCTTAACTTACCTTATTTTAGACCATAGTGATTGGGCCAGTTTTCAAATTTTGATTCTCTGTCTGCCAAAACTACCAAAAGGTTATTATTTTCAGTGCTCCCTGATGAAATTTGTTTGATATCCTCTTCGTGACTCCATAGGAGCATTTTTTGTATGGGTTAACCCTTTAAGTCCCAATGGTGACCAACATCAATTTTCTCCTGACGATATCCATATAAATAAATAAATGTCAAGAGATTAGGTTAAGAGAACTAGTAAAAT